TCCATGGTTAAATTTGTTCGTTGGTATTATTCTCTTTGATACAACTGTAAATGGGATTGTTTTTTCTTAAATTCTCTTTTTTTCTAGTTTATTGTCAGCATATAAAAATCCAACATATTTTTGTATAATAATTTTATACCTTGCAACTTTGCTTAATTCATTCATTAGTTCTAACAGTTTTTGATGGTATCTTTAGGGTTTTCTACATATAAAATTATGTCTGCAAATGGTGACAATTTTACTTTTTACATTTTAATTTGGATGCCTTTGTTTCTTTTCCCTGTCTAATTGCTCTGGTTAGGATTTTCAATATTATAATGAATGAAAGTGGTAAGAGTGGGCATCCTTGTCTTGCTTCTCGTCTTAAGGGGAAAGTTTGCGGCTTTTCACTGCTGAGTATGATGTTAGCTGAGGGTCTGTCACATATGGCTGTTATTATGTTGAGGTATATTCCCTCTATACACACTTTGTTAAGAGTTTTTATTGTAAATAGATGTTGAATTTTGTCAGATGCTTTTTCTTTATGTGTTGAGATGATTCTATGATTTTTGTTAACGTGATGTATCATCTGTGTTTCTAGGAATTTATTCATTTCTTCCAGATTTTTCAATTTGTTGCCATTTAATTGTTCATACGTGTCTCATATAATCCTTTGTATTTCTTTGGGATAAGTTGTAACTTCTCTTTCATTTCTGAATTTATTTATTTGGTCCTCTCTCTTTTTTTCTTATTGAGTCTAGCTAAAGTCTCAACAATTTTGTTTATCTTTTCGAAGTGCCAGCTCTGAGCTTCAGCAATCTTTCCTATTGTCTTTTTGTCTGTTTCATTTACTTGTGTTTTGATCTTTGTTATTTCCTTCCTTCTGCTAATTTGGGGCTTTGTTCTTTTTTAGTTCCTTGAAGTGGATTTTGTCAGCATCACTTCGCCTGCCACGCACGGCAACAAACACCCTTTGAAAATAAAGATCATATGGACGCAACGTAAATGATTTGGCCATTCCTGTGGCTGGGCACTCGGGTTTCTTTGCTTTTCTATTTTTGAGTCATTGTTTCTATTGATGAACAGGGGCGCGCTTCACTTTTAACTTTATTAAATATATTTAAAGGTTTATTGATAATGCTTTTTTCCTTGAAAACCTCCCTATAGCTACTAGAGATAGAAAGGAACATTTCATAATTATAAACTGGCCGCTCACCAAGAAAGACACGCGTCCCGTGCGCGGCACCTGTAGCGTAGCCGCAGCCCATCCGCAGGCTGGCTGGCAGGTGGAGGAAGCCGGGGCTCGTGGAGGAAGCAGACACACGTGGAGCACAGCAGGAGATGGAGCGCACCTCTCCCAGCAACTGATGGCCCACCACATGAGACGTGGGCACGAGCCAGAAAGGAGACCCTGCGAGGGTGACGAGGGGGGAAGGTGACACCTGTCCGTGTGCTCACCTGTGCCCTCTGGACCTGCGCTAGCTGGTCCATCTGGTTAGGAACTGTGTCTGGGACCCGTCAGCCTGTCACTCGGGGGATGGGATAGTGCCGAGCTCAGGCCAGGCAGTTTGGCCACATGGTCACTGGTTGGTGTGGCACATGGTCTCCCCTGACGCCCAGTAGCCACAGGGGCTACATTTTGGCGGCTAGTAGTTCCTTGCTGCAGGTGGCATGGGCTCTCTCCAGAAGCCCAGGGGGAGTGATTTCTACAAGCAGTGGGAGGGTAGCCCAGCCGGCGTGGCTCAGTGGTTGAGCGTCCAGCTATGAACCAGGAGGTCATGGTTCACTTCCCCATCAGGGCACATGCCCGGGTTGCGGGCTTGATCCCCGGTTGGGGGTAAGCAGGAGGCAGTCAATTGATGATCCTCTCTCATCATTGATGTTTCTCTCTCTCTCCCTCTCCCTTCCTCTCTGGAATCAATAAACATATATTTTTTAAAAAGCAGTAGAGGGATAAAGGGCCTGGTTTTGGTACTGGGACATCCCGTTGTCCCAGAGCCATTTGGTTGAAAGAGTTGCCTTTCCCACTGAATCATGTTGCCACCTTGACCGAATATGTGTTTCTACTTCTGGCGTCTCTATTCTTGCGCATTTACGTCTATCCTCAGGCCAGTGCCACACTCTCTTGATCCTTGTCATTTATGATAAGTCTTTAAATAAGGCACATTGCCCTGTGACTTGGCCCTTCTTTTTAAAGTTGTTTGGGACTTAGAATAGCCAGAGGCGGCCTGGCGTGCCTGAGGCTGGTGTCCTGACCCACAGGCGGGAAGGGAGGGGTGTTCTGCAGACACAGAGTGCGTGTGGCCCGTGATCCACAGTGAAGCAAAGGGCCTGCAGGTGTGCGACACACGTCCTTTCAGGGTTCGTGTTGTCCCCCCTCCCCCGCTCAAGCCCCCCTCCTGGATCCACAAGTCTTTTCCGTTCTCACTCCACACACCCGATGAGGGGAAACTGGACGGAATGAAGAGAGAGAAAAGGGGGAAAGAGCAGATCCCAGGGTGCGAGGCCAACGGGCTGGAGCGACTCAGGGGAGGGAGAGAGGAGGCTGTCCCAGGGCCCCAGGGCCTCACAGCCCGCTCCCCCCTCAGGACTCGCTTCTCCCCCTGAGAGTAGGCGTTCCTCAGCGATGGACTGGCCCTCCTCTTCCCAACTTTCACAGCAAAGAGCAAAGAGCCATGTCAATGGGAAGGAGAGGCTGCTGCGGCTTTAGTCTCTGAAGCGGCATTAACACAATGAATGTGCGTGAGGAAGGCCGCACTCTCCCGGCTGCCGGGAGCCTGGCGGCAGCGCTCAGATCCTTCCCTGATCGCTCACATTAACACAATGAATGTGCGTGAGGAAGGCCGCGCTCTCCCGGCTGCCGGGAGTCGGGCGGGAAACGCTCAGATCCTTCCCTGATGGCTCAGGGCTCAGGCCCGGCTGCAGGGTGGCAGCGCCCACGCTGGAAGGACGGCCTCTAACCATGCCGGTTCACGTGCCCTTCCCTGAGTCCTAGGGGGCGTGTGCCTCGCGCTTAGGAAAAGGCGCCGGAATTTGCTGATTGAGTGAGAATAACCAACATCAGTGAGTCCGGCTCATCCCTGACGGCTTCGTGAGATGGAGATAATCGTGGCTGCAGGTGCCCAGGCATCGCAGGGCGCCCAGCAGGAGGCCAAGATGAGGCTTTTCAGCACGCACCCGCCACCCACCCCGCAGCCTCCATTTCTCAGTGCTGTGGCAGATGCAATGGTGTGAGCACACTCCACCATGACATGCTTCCTCGGCACACCAGGAAGTAGCAACGCCCGCCTGAATGAACTCCTAGAGCCTCGTGCACAGTACCCCTGCCTTTCAGCCATTGGTCGCCTATAGCAACGTGTCTCCCTCTGATTGGTCCCCTCATGCTATATATACCCCTGTAGTTCCACAATAAAACAGATCTGTGTCACCGAACCTGGTCTCCGGAGTCATGCATGCAGATGCCCTCGTGCATTGTGGCTCCGTCGTCCTCACCCCTGAGGGACCCCCTGCTTCAGCTCAGGGCTCAGGCTGCAGGGCGGCAGCACCCACGCTGGAAGGACGGGCCTCTAACCATGCCAGTTCACGTGCCCTTCCCTGAGTCCCAGGGGGCGTGTGCCTCGTGCTTAGGAAAAGGCGCCGGAATTTGCTGATTGAGTGAGAATAACCATCAGTGAGTCCGGCTCGTCCCTGACGGCTTCGTGAGATGGAGATAATCGTGGCTGCAGGTGCCCAGGCATCGCAGGGCGCCCAGCAGGAGGCCAAGATGAGGCTTTTCAGCACGCACCCGCCACCCACCCTCGCAGCCTCCATGCACCGCCCTGCGCCAGCTGGGCCACTTGGTCGCCCCGTGTCCTGCGGACGCCTTCCTGAAACCACACTCTTCCCCCTTTGCTTCCTGTCATTCATGCTCACGTCGCCACAGACAATGAAATGTCTGCCTCAAGAAAGACACCAGTGGCCGCGTTCTCTGGTTCCCATGCCTCCCTGGGGGGAACCCACCGGGGAACCTGCAGCTGTGCGGGCTGGGGCTCAGTGAGGAGGGACCGCTCATCTGGGAGGCAGAGGAGGAGCCGAGAAGTGGGAGTTGAGATGAAGGGAGATGTAGGTGAGGCCCAGAGTAGGGTGCCCTGCGGGCCTGCCTGCCCCTTTCGCGGGGCCATCATGGGCGCAGTGAATGCCGTGGGCTGGGGGTTGATTCTCTCTCGTCTGCTACCTGCGCCAACAGCCCCTCCTGGAGCCAGAGCCTTTCATCCGGCTGGTAAAGAGCGAAGGGCTCACAATGCAAACATTCAGGGTAGCCTGGCCTACGCATGTCACCCTCAGAGACTCCTTCTCCTTGCGAGTGGAGAACCCGTTACCATGTGGGCGTGAGTGGGCAGTCGGGCAGGGCCGGGACCAGCCTCAGAAAGGAGGGGGGCAGAGGGAGGCCTGAGGGCCAGCGGCTGGGACAGAGCTCAGAACACAGCCATCTGCTCGCAGACGCTGTTCCCACAGGAAGGAGTGAGCGTGGGGGTTACGGGGCGCGCTCATGGGCACAGCGGTGGTGACTGGTGGGACCACCAGAAGCTCAAGCCCAGCCCAGGCCGGACTGGCTCAGCAGATAGAGCATCGGCCTGCAAACCGCAGGGTCCCAGGTTCGATTCCTGTCAAGGCACATACCTTGGCTGCAGGCTCCTCCCCACCCGGGCCCTGGTCAGGGCGTGTGCAGGAGGCAACCAATCGATGTGTTTCTCTCACATCGATGTACCTTGCTGTCTTTCCCTCTCTCTTCCACTCTCTCTAAAATTGCCTTTCCCTCTCTCTTCCACTCTCTCTAAAATCATGGAAAAACATCCCTGGGTGAGGATTAAAAAGAAGAAGCAGTAGCAGCTCAAGTCCAGGTGTCTGCCTCTAAATCACTCACCTGCCGCCCACTGCTCCCCATCTTCCTCGGCATTATCATCATTGGGCAGACCTGGCCGCCAGCAGCGTCCCCCAGCTTCAAGTTCAAGGGGCCCTGGAATTACATGCTCGACTCTTACTCAAGAAGGAAGATGCCATTTTTATTTTCTCATCCAGTTTCAACAACACAGAAAAGCCACGTCACATTGACTGGAGGGGAAACTTTAAATCCACGAGACTTTAAATCCACACGAATGATCCACAGGACGGGTCACTCATTTCTCAAAACTGTGCGTTCATGTTTAAGGTCAGATTTTTATGGGGAAATGACTCCAGGTGACTCCGTCTCATCACTCGGCCAGTGAGAGACGTCTCTGGCCTGTGCTCACAGTCACTTCCCGTCCGATGGAGATGTGACATTCACGGTGAGGGTGCTGATGCCACGGGCACCACGGCCTGACGCAGCTGCTCCGGCCCAGGACGCGAGGGGGGCAGTCACCGGGGCCGCCGTGTCTCCTCGGGCAGGTCGCACAGCTTGACCTCGATGTGGCCGTGGCTGAACGCCTCGCCCTTGGTCTCCCCCACGGCGTCCTCCCTCCGGCCCAGCACAGCTCGCTTCTGCGTCATGGCCGTCCCCGAGGGCCCACGCCGCCGCCATGCGGGGGACCGGGTTTCCGTCACCACGCAGCAGCACACGGCGGCCAGGAAGTTCTTCTTGAAGTTCTCGTTCATAAAGGCGTACACGATGGGGTTGCAGATGGTGTTGGCGAACCCCAGGAACTGCACAACGGCAAAAGTCATCTTGATGGTGACCTCGTCGTGCTCCTCCTCGAAGCTGCCTGGAATGAGAGGCACATTGAGAACGCGCATCTGTCTTAATGGCCCGAAAACAAAACCTCCGCGTCTCATCCGCCTTTGTGTTCATGTTTAAGGTCAGATTTTTATGGGGAAATGACTGAAGACGGCAAGGAGCATCGGTTCGCACTTGGGCGAGTGGCTGAAGGTGTGGGAACTGCTCCAGGCCGCTCTGGGGGGAGCAGGGGTGTCTGCAGAACACAGCCCCGTGAGGGGCCTTCATTCCCAGAGCAGCCAGGCTGACCACCACACCGGGCCCAGCAGACGTGGGGCTCATGCATCCAACCGGACTGCAAGCTGCAGTTACCCTGGGAGCCGTGGTTGCTCTGCAAACGTTCCCTGATACAGAAACGCGGTCATCCGAGGACCCTGCCACATCAGAGGTCATGGGGAGACTTCTGAAGGGCGGGAATGCACAGGTTACTGAGTTCATGGGGCTCAGGGCAGGGCTCTCGCTGGGGACAGAGGCTGCCTCCTCTCCCGACACCTATGTGACTCGGGGGCGCAGAAGGCACAGCAATGAGGGAGGGTGTCGGAGCGTTCCTGGCTCGTCTGTAATTATTAAAGACGTGGTCACGGTCAGACAGAATTCTCTGCCACGGAATGGTCTAGTCCAGTGGTTGGCAAACTCATTAGTCAACAGAGCCAAATACCAACAGTACTTCTTCAAAATAGACTCGCCCAGGCCGAAAACCGACTTCTGCGCATGGGCCACGAAGTTTCAATCGCACTGTACATGCGTACCCACACGTGGCATTTTGCGGAAGAGCCACACTGAAGGGGCCAAAGAGCCGCATGTGGCTCGAGAGCCGCGGTTTGCCCACCACGGGTCTAGTCGCCTTGCAAACACAAAAGAAACCTGTTCAACATTCGGTACTTGATGGGCCCCGCGCATAGCGACGCATTTCCCAGGTGCGTGGTGCATTCCGGCGGGAGACGAAGCGGGGCCCCGTCAGGGGGGGGACCACACTCACTGTATTCCACCAGCATGTGCACGACGTGGAAAGGAGCCCAGCACACGGCAAAGAGGGCTACCACGGTCACCATCATGGCCACGGCCCGCTTCTTCTTCCTGGGCCACGGGACACAGTGTCGGTTAACCTCTCCCTGGCAAGCGTGTCGGATCGATGGCAGAGCTAGTAAATCACGCCGGAGCCCAGACCCCTAACCATCATTCCACCGACGTGAAAACAGAGCTAACGATCAGTTCAATGTGGGCTGTCCACTGCCTTCCCGTGGCCATCACCCCACCCCCACACCTCTCACATTATAAACACCCCCGGACGTGTGCGCAGAGGGGCTGGCCTCCGGGGGCTGCTGGGCGCGGGTGATGTCATCAGTCTTCCCAGCAAGCCTGTGACAGATGCAGAAACGGGGCCCCGAGAAGGGCAAGTAACCTGCAAGGTGAGACTGGCCAGTAAGGGATTTAAAGGAATCAGGGCTCCTCGTGTTTAAATTTAGGCAGTCTGACTTCCGTGCCTACGCTCTTATTCTTTTACATGGAAGGCCTCTCGCTCAGGAATCAGGGCTCCTCGTGTTTAAATTTAGGCGGCCTGACTTCCGTGTCTGAGCTCTTATTCTTTTACATGGAAGGCCTCTCGCCCCTGTGATAGGAAAATATCAATATTTATGAAATATGGGCAGCCCCAAGATATAATTAAAATGTAAACCTTTATTATATCTCTAAGGGACAGCATTAACCAGGATTTCAAACTAGTTTTCCCCATTATTCCTGTAAAGGTGATAAGCAGGTGCAAGCAATCGGCTC